AAACTAAAAAATAGATAGTTGGCCACAGTCACTTCTTCACGAATTATTATTCAGTCATTCTCGTTCACTGTTTGAAGGTGATTGCCAATGTTTCATGATGAATTTCATTACTTCGGACTTCCATTGTCTGATATTATATAAAATGATTTGAAATCTCTGAAAGAACTAATAAAAAAAAATTTAAAAAGTATAGCTGAAAATGAAAATTATATTAAGCAAAAAAACCTAAAATAAAATAACAGTGAAATAAAATACAAGTGAAAATAGAAAAATTAAACAAAAATTAAAAATAAAAAGTTACAAATCAAAATATTTCAAACCAAATTACTTCACGACGTTTCGATTGTGTTAGTACCCACAATCGTCTTCGGGTGATGACTGGACTAATTCCTCCGAGAGATGACTATTTATGGGTCATTCGAGTACTTTCACTAATCTCCGCTTTCCTCTTTCCGCTTCACCGGTTCAGTGGGAGATGTCCGTTTGGCGGGAGTTGGCCATAATCAAGCAAAAAATCTCCAACGAATGGTGAAGTGAATAGACATAATTGTTGTTACTGGAACGATGTGAATCCTCATTTGGTGATAAAAACACATTCACAAACTCCACAAAAATTTAATGTCTGGGCCGACATTCTTGGTAATCATATTGTTGGACCATTCTTCATTGAAGGTAATCTCAATGGAAACACATACTTGTAGATCCTATGATTAAACACATTTTAGAAAATGATGACAATTAGTAGAAAATGAAATAACATTCCAGCAGGATGATGCACCCCAACATTTTGATTTTTGGGTAAGACAGTTGTTGGACAAACGTTTCCCATATCGTTGGATTGGCAGAAGGGGTCTAGTGGAGTGGCCAGCTTGATCACCTGATCTCACACCGATGGACTTCTTTCTGTGGGGACACCTGAAGTCGAAAGTGTACTCTACTAAGCCTACAAATCTAGAAGACATCAGAATTTCTCAGTAACGAATGAACGAATTTTGAAAAAAATCACAGAAGTAATAGAGGGACAAAAGAAATTTCAAATGATGTATCACTCGACCCCCCATGCCATTGAAAAAATAGGGGGGTAGTTGCTGACCGCAAATGGGTGAAGTTTCGGGTATAATTTCCATATCAGAATTAGTCCCCCTAGAAATAAGAATTGTCGTGTTCTTTGAAATTTTGGATTACGCGTCCGTTTCTGACTTACAGAGGGGTCAAGTTTACGTTGGAACGCCCTGTATGTTGTTGAAAACGGAGGTATAATGTTGATAGGAAGAAATAAATTATTATGTTGAATTTAGGTATAAGTATAGTGAATGAGACTGAGAATTATTCAAATATCATGAGTTTCACTATCGAGCTGTATTCGAAAATACTTCTGGTACTTTTAACATATTTGAAAACTCCTTCAAAATTAAAATCCGGGGCTATTCCAAAATTTTATAAGCCGCGTCCTGTTCGTTTCAAATTGAAACTTGAATTAGATAACGAGTTGAAGAGATTAGTTGATAATGATATTTTAATGCCTATTGGATCTTCCGAATGGACAACACCCATCGTTCCGATATCGCAAAAAAATGGGAGAGTTAGATTCTGTGGTGACTTAAAAATAACCCTCAATACTCAACAGAAGTTACAAATATACACTCTTTCGCGGATTGAGTATTTTTCATTCAATAACACGTGGCGAAAAGTTCTCAAAAATAGATCTTTCTGAAGCCTAATATCAGGCTACGTTGTCAGATGATAGTTAAAATTTGGTTACAATATCTACTCACAAGGGTTTGTTTTCTTCAAACCTTCATCGTATGAAATATATTGTGCTCCATTTATTTTTCAAAACTTTCACCAACTTTACGTAAATACCTATACATTTTTGAAAAGTATGAATATGCAGTTTTCTCACACAGCCATCAGTTTTCGTCTATCTTCTTTGAAAACAGGAGTTTCCCTTTGAAAGTGTCCACTTTCGTCCACTCTGGGTCAGAAAATTGATGAAACCGGTCTTCATATGATTTATGATCAAACAATGTCCGTAATCACAAAATCATTTTTCGGGATGGCTAACTATTATTGTAAAATGCTTCGAATATTTTACAGCCTTGTTGAAAAGAGGAGGAGCCAGTGTACCACAGGCTATCAAAATAGTTGAAAAAAAAATTGAAGAAATGTTGCATTACTTCGAAATTCACGGTAGTTTCTTCTGATTTTGTAATTAGTGCAGTGATCAGTCATAATAAAGTCGACAATGTTGAACGACCTATTGCATTTGCATCTAGGATGTTAACATCAGCCGATATCTATATGGCAGAACATTGTTTCTTTACTGTGATTATTTACCTACTATACAGCGTGACTCACGGTCGATGGTAGGTTAGACGTTTCTGGAAAACGCAAAGTATGATTTTTCTGAAAATTCCACCTCTCACATTGTACTCGGTAAAATGAAAGATGGTAAAAAATGCTTCAAGATGATATATCATGTCCCTATACCTAAATCGTCAAGTTTTCTCAATAAAGTCGCTACTTCTAGAAACATTATTTTTTTTTAGAATCTGGATTTAGGTAGCAGTGGAATTATTAAGCTTATAGCAGTGTGGTTACTTTTATAAGTAATTTACAAAGAGTTATAGGCGGTGTTTCGAATCATCTTCCAAAATGAATGCAAATATCGATTATTCAAACGAAGTTCTTATGAAATTATTTATTATACACATGAACAAAGTGATCAAATCATTGTCAGAACGTGTAAAAAATTCAACCAAATGTNAGAACAGGTAAGGAAATGTGAGAGGTGGAATTTTCAGAAAAATCATGCTTTTCGTTTTCCAGAAACGTCTAACCTACCATCGACCGTGAGTCACGCTGTATTTGGAGAAGAAAAAACAGTTTAACGGCAAACAGCCTTCAGCATAGGGATTACAATCTTACATATTATCAGTTTTTGATTATCAAAATAAATATATTCCATCCAATAAAAATATTATCTTTCACACATAAAAATAAATTGGAAAAATGATAATGGTTGGTGAGACCTTTGATTCGATATCATATTTTCAATTTCTAGAAAGGGGAAATTTTCCGTTAATTATTTTATATACGGAACGGGTGGCTGAAAATCATTTTAAGAGAACTACAACCATTTTCCTTAAGAAATGAAGAGTTAACAATACAACAAGGTTGTGTAATGTGGAGGTATCGTATATCATATCATATATCTTGGCACAATCATGTAGCTGGAATTGTAACACTATTCCGAACCAGAAAACTGTACACACTTCAACAGCTTCTGATGCTTTATAAAACTCAGATCAGACCTTCTTTGGAGTATTTTTCTCATGGTAGGTAGCCAGACGGTTCGACGTGGGTGCTTTGTTCACTCTCACAATCGACCGGTGTGTGAGTCGGTGGTTCAAGCCGCAGACTGAACGATTGTTTTTCACTTGCTATCGTCCAACCCGTTTTAGGAATCAAACGTTAAAAGGTGAAACCTCGTTAGTTCTTAGCTTGCACAAGTTTAGATTTCTGAGGGTTGTCGTTTGTAGGGATGCGACAGCTGGTTAACGAAAAAAACATATTTCAACATACATTTTTCTAACATGTATGGAGCTCCGCTCCCAAACATACCCTGAAGCTGCTGGATTCCATCCAGAAAAGAGCCATCCACCTGATTGGAGACAAGAACATCATTTGCAACTTCGATAGTCTGGAACATCGAAGATAGGTTGGAGATTTATTACTATTTCATAGAAACTTTAACGGGAGGTGTTCAAGCGACTCAGCACATTTGATTCCACCAAGAGAGGTATATATCAGAAATACGCGACGGACTCTGGCTGCTCATCGTTTCGAAGTTCAACTGCACAGAACTATATTGGCCAAGAACTCTTTCATTTGGAAAACTGCGTTTATGTGAAATAAACTTCCTGAGAACGTCTTTCCAAATGAATTGATTCTCCAGTGATTCAAATCCAACGTGAATCGTTACTTTCACACACGCAAGTTTTGGAGGACGCCACATCCAAGTGGATTCAATATTTTTAAAGTCATAACATGTCGGCCAAAACTACCATAGCTACCATACTAGTGGTTGAGCTGAATTTGGGCTACCCAAGGAGTTCTGTCCTGTCATATGAATTTCAAATTTTTTTAATTAAACAAGCTATTAAACATAGGACAAGGGCCAAATATCATCCTGACGCACATGGATTGGCAGAATCAGCAGTTAAAATAATAAAAAATCCCCAATTACGGCTAGAGAAGAAGATAATTAAAAAAGATATCATCACATAATATATTGTTTTTTATTTCACTATAGAAATACATTATTGACTCGATTCGACTATCAAAAGTTTACATGTCTTGAAAATTGAATTCAACACGAACAAGAGATGTATTGATAGTGAATGATATTCACCACACCACACTGGAACGAAAGAGATAAGGAATTAGCAATTGTGATTATTTTTTTTTTCTGATTGATTCGGCGGTTTCTTGAAGAAAATCCATAGTTATTTCATAAACTACACCTTATGATTTGATCAAATCGTGAGGTGTAGTTTATGACATTGTTTTTATATCAGAACAAATAAATCGTTCGGGAGACATTCAAACAAGAAAAATATGATGAATCTTATCTCGATGAGAAGTAAGGGATATCTTGAGGAGATATAATTTGTAGTAACTACACTCAGACGTTTTGTATACACAAAATATTTATGATATACCACATAAGTATGAAATGATCGTGGTCAGTTGTATGTATATTGTTGCGCTCCTGAAATCAATCAATTTTAAGTGGTCTCAAGTGACTCCAAATAAAGTAGCTCCATATCAGTGTGTGCAGAAAAAAAAAGGAGTTTAACATCCTGGTAAAAGCAAGTATGTAAAACTATTGATGCAATAGACAATTGCAAATAAGCACTGTAAAAAAAGTTCAATCTCATTCTTTTATTCGTACCAAAGAAGTAAGAGAGAAAGAAAATGAATACAGTCACACTGGAGAATATTGTGGTTTTAACATTTTATTTCGTCTTCTAAAAGTAGGTACGTCTTAAAAATATACACTAATTTGTCTTTACTGTATCGTGACTGTATTTACACTGTTATTACACTGTATTACATTTCGCTAGAGAATACTTAAAATACTTGTTCAAATCAATACCCAACAACAACTTATAGATACGTAGTTTTACTATCGTTTTGATCGAATGCTAAATCAAATTCTGGATTGTTTTCAACTCCAATCAAATCTGAATCGCCACTCCTGATACTGAAAAAGAAAAAAAGGATGATTTTGTAGAGATATATAGCTTAAGAATCAGTAAATTTTCAAGGAACAGTTTAACAAATGTTGAAGTATGACTTAGACATTGAAATTTTGTTTATGTTGACAGCTTTGGTCCCATTAAAAAAAAGGATTGAAACTATTTCAGAAAGATATACTTCCAAAACCTGTTGAGTGTATCAAATCTGTCAAGATAAACATAATATGCCAAGTTGAGTACAGACACTCAACCCTCAAAAGTAGAATGTGTGGTATTTTGGTAATATGGAAAATTCCTTATGGGTTTTTTCTTTTTGTAAATTCAACAGGTATAATGAACCTAGATTTACTTCAAAATACTATCGACTCGGTTCCAACACATGTATCTCGCAAGGAATGATATCCTGCATATATTGAAGTGGCCATGATGTTTCAGCAAGACGGTGCTGGTCCCCATTACTCACATAACATGAGTAATTATTCAAGCGATAGGTTTATAGACGGATATACTGTGACTAAAACAACACGATGGAGTAACTCAGATTGGATTTGCTGAAGACATTGATATGGTCGTGATAGCCATAGGCGTAGAAAGTCTAATGACCATTGCACTCCAGAAGGTATCAAACTGGTTAGAAGAGACAAGAGACTTGAACTAGCCGCAAAGAAAACAGAAGCAGCCGTCCTAACAACGAAAAAAAAAATAAATCCAGTCTAAATTAATGTAAAAGGCGCTTGACTAGTCTAACTAAATACTATGCTAACCTTGGCTGAACACATCGAAACATTTTCACAAAAAGTAGAAAAACAGTGACGGCATTGTCCTCCCTCATTGCATTGCACATATATGAGGAGTTAGAACATCAAAAAGAAGAGCATTGATGAGTTTGTAGCCCAGTATATCTCATAACACAAGCAATTTCTGGACACGGCTGCTTCAGGAAATACTTGTTCAATGGATTGAGGTCTGAAGGTGAGGAATATCCATACCGTGGAGAAATAGATGACACCAAGCACACACTTGTCACAAGTATGAGATTGAATAGTGTTGGTCAGGAATATCAATTAGTAAGGGGTTCTCCATTCGAAGAAAATCTATGGTAGGATCCATGGTGTCGTGTGAAAAAGAATGGGGAGAAGTATATGAAAGTGATAAAATTCATCATTAAAACTGAAGAAAGAGAAGGCCAATTTAGCCAAAGAACCCAGCCATTTATGGGACATACAACTCTCCAACTGAAGTAATGCGCAAACGGTTCCAGTGAGGGGTGCGAAGTGAAGGAGAGAGGTAAAATCCTACACACCTCCTAGTAACCTATCACCAGGTGATATCTAAGGATATTTTCCTCTCCTGCAAAAATATAAAAATGGATATATGAATAAATGGATAGTTGGATAGATGAATAGATGGATTGATGAGTCTTATTCCGACATCCAGGAGTGGTTCATCAGAAAATATGACGAAACATATTATTTCCTGACACAGGCTCTCTCAGGGCTTATATGTTTTGAAAAATATCTATTGGAACGCCGAAGAACAGATTCTGACAAGTGTCCATACTGCAAAAACATAGATGCATCACATGGAAAGGAAAGCAACTAGAATAACAGAGAAATACAGAAACCGTCTTTGATGCAACACACATGATGACGTTCTTCATCTCGAGAGAAAAAATATGGCGAGTAGCATATAAAACCATAAGAGACATCATAGAAACTAAAGAAAAAGAGGACAGAGAGAGGAGATGGAAAATTATACAGGATTTGCACCCATCGGTCTGGGAGTCCCCTGACTGTCGTGTGAAGAAAGAACTTTGCACGGCGTTATGGTTTTCCCTCTGAGCCGAGTGCCAGTTATCGTCGAAGCAATGTCTAACGACGGTATCGGGGGATAGCACAGGAAGCGACTGAGAAAAAAAGGTGGATAGATGAATAGATGAATAGATGGATAGGTGGATAGATGAATAGATGGATAAATGAACAGTAAGGTCAGCTCATATCTTGCAAACGAGTAAACCATTAAAAAAAACAAACAACCCAGAAATTAATAGGATATCAAACTTTGCAAATGGCATATCCCCTAGAGGGTTGAAGATTTTGCAATAGTTTTTGAATCAAAACTTGTCCGTTCCTCTCACAAATAACTTTAACCTGCTTTTGGATGATCGCGAAAAGTTCTTTCCCCTCCTTTACGGTACGACCGATGGTACACTCTGTATGAAGTAACCAGAGGGGAATGCACGTTTATTGAAGCAAAGAGATCGTAATAATTTTTTTCAGAATATTCCATTATTCATTCGATCACTCATAATGAAAGAAAAAGTTGCACAAATCATTTCAAAATGATTTGTTCGGCAGAAAATCCAAAATAGGGAAATTGAACTGTTCAAAAATCGTGCCCGTCATAATGTCAAAAAATGTTAATTACTGTGTGTAAATGTATTTAAAAAAACACTTCTTACCTCTGTGTATCAAAATCTGCAATATCTTTAGGTTTTTTCATATCATCATTGTTGAAAATAGGGTTCGAACCTTCAATTGCATGCTTATTGGTGGTTGGTGCACTTAAACCTAGTCGATTCAATCCAGACTCTTGTGATCCGAATTTTTTCGATGTCAATTTGGAAATCGTCTTGTTTAATCTGGAACAGTTATATACATAGTGATATTTTTGCATCATGTTAACACATTCATTAAATAGGGCCGTCATACCCTCATGTGACTCATTGATACAAATGTACTTGCGTTGTTTCTCTATAGGCCTCAATAATTGTTTTGTTATTACCAAAGAACGAAAAAATTACTTGATTCTAGAGTAGAACAGCACAACTATGACTGTGAATTACCTTTCACCAATTCCATTTTGATATCATGTATACAGGGTGTTTCAAATTCGATCCTCACCTGTGGGATCTCGGAAACTATGAGAGATATGAAGATGTTTAAATTGGGGCAAACTTGCGCATTTACCTGACTGACAATAAGCCGTTGAGAAAGTTCTGAAATTCCGAGTATATCCGAAGATATCCGGAAAAAAAACACAAATTTCGGAAAATGGTTTTTACTTTTTTCTGGATTTATTTTTCGGAGGATTCGAAAATAAATTGCACATTGCCACTTTTTTCCTGTTACATAATGGTGTTTTCAGATTTGCTCTCTGACGTTTCGTCTTCCGTCCACCATCATCAACTTTATTTTTTCTTATGGGCGCTACATTGGATTGTTTCTATTTTGAATACAACCAGATTTTACTTTTTCAATGATGTATCATAAGTTATCATTTTTTTTCCGGATATTTACGGATATACTCGGAATTTAAGAACTTTCTCAACGGCATATTGTTCATCAGGTAAATTAGCAATTTTGCCCTAATTTAATCATCTTCGTATCTCTCACAGTTTCCTAAATCCCAATGGTGAGGATCGAATTTGAAACCTGTATATTGAAGCACAATGCATAATTATTGAAACGTGCGAAATCAATTTTTTTGCGATTGATAGTGCGGAAAAGTTCAAAAAGTGTTAGACTTTTGAAAGAGCTAAAATTATATGTTTCCGTTCATTCTATACATTCCTGGTGTAGTTACTGACAACTGATGAATGTCTAGTTTTAGTTCAGGGTTGCCAGACATCAAGCATTAGGTGGGACAATTCTACTTTTTGTTTTTGTACCATTTTTCATTAATAATTCCACATCCTTTTTCATGTGAATTTTCCTGTTTTCTCCTCCCTGGCTCAAATATGTTTCGTTTCTTTGGATGTGGTTCAATATCTCATTGTTTTTCACAAAGAAAATTGACATTTCAACATCTAAGTATATCTTTCTTGCTTTCGTCAATCCCGTTTACTAAAAGCACTATATTTTGGTCCGAATCTGAAGGTGGTTGTCTGAACAGAAGAGGCAAGTTAAAATCTCAAAAGGAAATATTTATAGTCACTTAAATTGTTTGAACTTTCAGTGAACTGTTTTGTTTCTATTGAGTTTGTATTTTTTATGGATTTCTGTTACGAACACTTTCGATATTTAGAAAAAATTCAGTAGGGAAGGGAGGGCACCAAATATATATTTTCCCGCTGGTGCCAAAAGCTCCGTGGGTGACCTTGATAGGACATCAGGCTTGGAAATGAATTGTATGTTTTATTAATGAAGTTGTGCACTTGTTTCAGGTGTCCTATTATTGTTTTATCCGTAGAGAGTTTTTGTATAAGTTTTTTGTGACATGTGACATGATATCAGACACAGTTACAAAACTACAAAAACGTGGTGTATAGTAAACAGCGAGTTGGGAAGAAAAAAGTGTTATACTGATAATGTTATTGCGGTCAATAATGCACCTATTTGCCAATACTTTTTCAAATTGTAAATGATCTAAAAGACGAAAAAAAAAGAGTATTATTATTATTATTATCGTGGTCAGATATAATCCTGAAGAGGAGATTCTGTGAACTATGATCATTATACGATCTTCAATCGTATATATACACACATGTACACATGTATATCACATGTATTTGAACGCTTGAATAGTGATTATCACCTTGATGTATTCCATATGTTTATGCCATTTCACTTATTTTCTCTATTGTCAGTAATAACCTGTTAGAATATGCAGGTGACAAAATTCCTAATTAAAAAACTGTTTGAGCTGTACCGCTCCCGACGACCGGATTTTTTATTTCGTGTATGCCATTCCACTTCCTTTCTAGTCAGTAATAACGTATTAGAATATGAAGGTGGATGAATTCCTAATGAAAACGTTGGTGTAGCAATGAAATATGAAGGTGGCAGGGTTTCTAATAAAATGTTGTTGGAGCAGCAGTTGTGCTGCCCCCGAGGCTCGTTTATTTTATAGTCTCCATAATACTAAGTTTTTCATCAAATATATTACGGTATTTGATGATTCACTTACTGCCTAATTTTGACGACGAATATGATTAGTAAAATGATACACAAGGCACCGAGGACAGCCGATGTTCCAATCAACCAAGTTTGTATCTGACTATCATCCTTAGTTGCCGAAGCAGGGAAGGGCACCAACATCAACTTGTAGTTTCGGAGTTCGGACTGTAGTCTGCTGTAAGTTCCATAATTGGAAACCATTCTGTAAAACAATAAATATATTCAATAAAATGAAATAAGCTGATAAACAACGACAAATAAGTTGATAAGTGAATAAATAGATGAGTTCTACAGATATTAAATGAAAATTGGGATATTGAGAGACTTCTGAAGATTTATTTATGGAATGTTGACTGACTGAATCTGCAAAGGTGTCCATTGGACACTGAAAAACCAAAATGAAGATGGTTCAATAAAAATTGTCAGATCTGAGATGATCCATTTTCAAAACACGAACAAATATTTTCTGAACGCGCCAATTTGGTTTGTGAAAGGGGTCTCAAATAGAGTGTTACAGTTCTGGTGTTTGAGAGCAGTGTTTGTTTTGGAGTACCATTGCATTTGTGAACCAATATGTCGGCTGTCCATTACCATGCAAATAATTATTTTGTAAGACACTCAGTATGATGTATAGAAAATTGTTCAGGTTCAGTCGACAGCCTATCTAATTGTGCGATCTGATATTTCCGAATAACCGATTAATACTATTCTCATATCCCTAATGTGATAATATCTAGTGATTCAGTTGGTTACGGATCATCATCATTGATGAAAAATTGAAAATATATTCGAATTCAAACATAAAAAATGTAAATAGGTTTCACTTTATATTGCTTCAAAAGACATTAGCACTGATTCAATTTTTGTTAAAAACAGCATACCAAAAGTTAGTTTGATTCTGGTGATTTCACCATATTTAATTTTGAGAAAAATCAGTCCCCTTCCAGGAAATGTAGCTTCGTCTCTAAACATTATGTTTTGGCATCAACGTATGGGTATTTTAGTATTGTCAATTGCTCCCAATAGGATACTTTCTTCAATGTTTTTGTTTGGGAAAGCTCAATTGGTACTTCAGTTCAATTTATCGAAAGTGTCTTTTTTTTGTAAATGACGAAGATCGCCTTCAACGGAGATTCCCGAATCTACTCCTCAGAAAGGTACCTTTCCAACGCTATTCTTCACGCGAACGACCACGAGGAATCAAAGTAAGTCCCTTAATGTTCTCGTTCTTGACATAATTTCAACCATTGTTGTCTCTTTCGCCATTATTTTTGGAAATAACGGATATCACACCTACTCAGAATATTTTCCAACAGTTCATTTTTCAAAACCAATTTCTGAGCTAATTTATACACAAACAGTGTTCATTTAATAACGCATTTTTCATGAGAAAGATCAAATCAATATTTCATTGAGCTTTTACGTAGGAGGAGTGAGTTTGGAATAACATTTTTATTCGAATTATTATGTTTTTCGTTTTGTTTACAGGTTTTTGAAATAATATAAAATTGCTACTACTTTGGAGCAATATTTTCGCGAACTCTGTATATTTTTTTAACAACTAGTAACTGACATTTATTTATCGATGAAATTATATACAATAGTTAATTTACCTCATTATCACATTCGAGTCAACGGCAGTAACGGAAGTTCCGTCTTGATGCAGCATATTTCTGTACAAGCTATCAGTTGTATTGATGAAATATAAACGAGCAACTGTCAAAACATCTTTGTCGGTGGATTGGTTCAGAAAAGTTTGCTTGTAGGCTTTTATTCCAATCACGTCAGCCATAGTATCCAGTAACTGCAAAAAACAAACGACTTGCATTCTGTCATACAGTTTTTTTTTAAAATACATGGCTATTAGACCCTTCATTAGAAACAAACATCACTGAATGAAGATAGTGATCAGTGGCTGAAAGAAAAAATCTTGTATGAAACACTCTTGTATGAAATACTACTTTTCAAAATCTCGCTACGCTTATCCTGAAAAAATTGCATTCTCTACACAAATTGTTTACATGTTTTACATGTATTGAATTTTGTTATAGTAATCTAAATGAATATCATTCTTGTACCAGGTTAGATATTCTTGAAAATCTTTATGAACAAGTTATGAAATGTATATATTATAGCAAATAATTTCAAATCACGCGCCAAAGTTAGGTTGGTACCAGTTAGGTGAGTACGACTGAAATAAGTGGTAGAAAGAGGCATGGGAGTGGCGGAAACTTAGGTGTATATACTATAATTCCTAAATAGTAGACACTAAATTCTCAGAAATGACTGACGTTTTTGTCCTGATCTGTTCTTTGCAGTGGCGTACGGAAATTATACTAAACAGATGAGAAAAAATGATGACAAAATATATAGAATCACAACCAATGCAATAATATTTCGGAGAAGTTGGTGCCTATTATTATCGAATTGTACTATAGTTAATAATAATTATGTTTCATGGTTCAGAAACAGAATTGAAGTGGAGACCAGTTTTTGGACGCCCATCGATTTAACTATTACTACTTTCTCATTATCTCTCATAATATCATCCATCATTTTTTATATAGATATTAACGCACGTCATTATGTAGTATATATTATCACTCATCATACCCAAGACCAAAAATGAATGAAACTTTGAGCTATCAATACTCGACACTGCTATACTGTTACTTCAGATTGTACAAATCCTGGCTTAATGAATTTTCACAAGGTGCTCTCTATGAAAGTGATCTGAAAGCATAATATAATTTTCCGAACCCTTCGCAGATTGCATCAATCTGAGTGTTTAGTACTGATTCAGAGTCAGTGTCAGTACACGAAAATGTTATTCACCTTAAGGTTACAGCTCGGTGTCATTTATTTCGAACTTTGGAAACTTACTGGATTTGCGTTTATTACTGAATTCGGTGCATACTGTTTCATTGATGTTGAGATGGTTGTTTATGCACCAAGTGCTGAAATCTTTCATGACAGACTGGACCTTCACCTCAAGTTCATGAAGAGTTACTGCAGATTTGATAATCGTTGTGTCGTTTGCATATATGAATGCTGTACATTAATTAATTGCTTGAGGTAGGTCGAAAATATATAATAAAATAAGAGTGGACCTACAATTTCCCCCTGTGGCGTGCCCAAAGTGAGATGAAACGCTTCCGAATAACCTTCACTTTGAATATTCTTCCACTAATATAGGAAATCAGCCACGAATTTATTGGATCACGTATACCCATTGTCTCCAATTCGATTTCGTGGAAATCTGGTTCGATAATATCGAAAGCTCTTGAAACGTCGAAGAAAAACCCCATGGTGTATCCATTATGTTCCAGGTTTTCCAGTATGTGTCGCACTGTCTCAATTGATGAATTTTGTTAAAAACTATGTTGACAAACGTGTAATAATATTATTGCTATTCAGATAATTTGTTACTTGAGAATAAACAATAACTTCAATTACTCTGGAGAAACAATTGAGGAAACAGAGTGATATGTAGTTCTCCATACAGCATTGGTCTACCATTCTCAATATCGGCACAGCTTTTGATATTTTTGAGTCTTCCGGAAATTGACTCAATATTACAGATAATTTAATTCGATCACTTACACTACATTCTTTTAAAAGTAATGCAGGAACGCCATCACTTCTACTTGAATAGTTTTTCTTCAAACTGAGGATAATTGAAAAAACTTCCTTTGGTATATCAGGACGGAAAAACATTGAGTGGGAATGATTTACTACAACTTTTGTATTGAAATTATAAGGTTTGAGATCTTTGAGTTTTTTACGAGATTGATATTGGAATGTTTTTTCGTTTTGTTGTATTTTTCATCAACCTTTGTCTGGAATGTTTTGAAGTTCGTGATTTTTTGAAAAAACATTTTTTCTCATTCCATATTTTTCTATTTAATTTTTTTTTTCCAAATCTTCTAAATTTTGTAGTGTATCACTATTATTTTTTCCGAAGCCTATTGAAGTCTTTTAGCCTAACATTATATGGATTAAGTTAAATGAAATGAATAAAAACACATTTTTTTGTCTAAATGCCACTGGATAATTTTATTTATACGACCGGTTTTGGGTTTGATCCCATTATCAAGTATAATACTGATATAATGGGATTGAGATTGATAATGGGATCAAACCCGAAACTGGTCATATAAATAAAATTTTCCAGTGGTATTTAGACAAAAGTGTTTTTATTCATTTTATTTGAGTGATCATGAATTACCATAAAGTAAACAAGTCATCAATCACACATATCGATTAAGTTCATTTGATGAATGTATTTTGTCATCTGTTTTCTTTTCAATCGTGGTATAAGTACTACGTTCGGAAAATGTGAGATTGAAGCATCAGTTGGAGTGATCCAAGAAATGCTTAACATAGTTTTACGTCTTCTTCCGTATCGAAAAGAACTGTATAACATTCACAACAGAGTTTTCGTCAAGATTCCAAGTTATGAAATTAGTAATTTCCTTTCCTTTATTTTTCATCCGGTACCAGATGGAGAGAACTTGACATTTTTCACATTAAAGTCTCGAACGTGCTCGCTGCACATGTCAATATTGTCATTTGTGATGTCATCCCGATGGCACAATGTCTGGCTGGTTCCTTTTTTGGAACAGGTGAACTCCTAGGACTTGAAGTTGATGATTGGGTTCGCTTTGTTTTGGAATATTTATAAACAACCCAGAAAATGCCAAACTCTCTTCGATTATCCTGGAGTAAAGCCATATGGGATTGTTGACCTTGAACGATATCACATCATCCAAGCGTTACAAATAGTCAAACTGAAGTAGTACAAAATGATTCGTAAATTCCATTTTAGTGTACAAATATATTATTTATGAACGTTTAACCATTATATAGTCTCCCTGCTTTTCGTCCCATCCCTTCACTTCATATTCTGGCTTGATTACAATGAAGTTGGACTGTTTTGTTGCTATAACGATGAACACCAATGACTTTATTGTTACTAGTGATCCTTGAGTCACGGTTACCACGATCAAGGTTTTGTAATTCACGTTCAAGTTTCAATGTACACTTTTTGAGTCTGTTATTTAGTATAGTTTCAGTCATAAAAATAACTCGAAGAAGTTCCCTTAATAATGAGAAAGATGTAAAGTAGTTGTGGCAAAATAACGTATGTCCGTGATGATCACGAATTCTATATGACAAATAAATCACTTATTCATCGGTAACTGCATATTTTTCCTGAATATCTATAGGAAGAGTAAACGAGCGTTGATTTATAATGAAGCGATATATAATACCAGAAGCACCACAAAGCATAAGCACTTTAATACCACAATGATTCAGTTCATTCCTTGCATATTTTTCACCACAAGATGACCCTTGAACGGATTTGTTGATTCATCAATCACAGATTTTCTTCTAGTTGTAGTTGCTTGCACAGGTTTTCAAAAAAACAGATTGAAGGACAAACTTTCCAAACATTCCATCATTTTTGTCAAGCTCAACATATACATGAAGGTTATTTCTGAGACATTCAAATATATTTCTTGACGTTCCAATATCATTTATAAATTTGTTTTTTGAAGCAGGTGCCTGATACATTGTCAGTCTCGGAAAACGAATTATATCCATTACAATATCCATTACACACAAGGGGCGCCTGTTTAAATGCCTGATAAATATATGTTTGATTTCAGCTTGTTTAAGTGATTTAAAGTTCGTTCTACGAGGTTTTGGCATAAAAATTACGTGTTAATAATATGCCCCTTAATAGTTCGGGGTGTTTTTGATTCGTGAGTAGCTCCGATAATACATTTCCAAATGACAAACAAAGCTTATCAAATCGTTTATCGGCTGCACGAAATATTTTATTCCAAAGGGTAAAGTTGGTAGGGAAATCTACCTGGGAAAGTATTCAATACAAAATTCAATCAATGAATAAAAAAAATTATGATGAGTTGAAATGAATTGAAGAAAAAATACAAATACTAATTTATATACAAAATTCAATCAATGAATAAAAAAAAATGATGATGTGTTGAAATGAATTGAAAAAAAAATACAAATACTAATTTATAGAGTAAACAAATTATTGTGAACTGAAATTGAAAGAAATAATCGAAAGGGTAGAATAATACGTTGAGATCAATAATATATAAACAATAAAATTAAAGATAATCCAGGTAACAACCGAAGGCGATTGTGGATACTCACAACCGAAATAATTATTTTTGTCACATTTTTCAATATTTTTCTTAACTAGCTCATAAAAATTTTTAACCATCAATTCACCAATTTTTTATATTTAATTCTTAAGAATTTCAAACTTGGTAAAACCTATTTCTAAAGTTTAAAAAAATCTGTTTTTCCGTTAACCAGCTGTCGCACTCCTACGAACAACAACTCTCAGAAGTCGAAACTTGTGCGAGCTAAGGATTAACGGAGTCTTACCTTTTAACGTGTGATTCCTATGTGTTAGAACACATTAGAAATCGGCTTCGATTAGGCTGCAGTAGCTTTCTTCAAAATATTTCTCGCCTTCTTGTCTCATAATTCAAATGAAATGTTTTTATCCATATATAAATTACGAAAGACACAGATGAACTGAGCTCATGCCCCTCAATGCCCTCTCGAGGCAAACAATTTTGTGGCTACTTTCATTGGTTTAGGTGTGTTTTGTTATATATATTATTTATGAAATTAACGAATCTATATTTACCTGTTTTTCATTGTCCTGAACTTCAGTAATATTATTGTAAAATCTGAAATCGACAGTCTTATCCTCTGATATGATGAAAATAGTTACCGTCGTTGTATCATTGTGGGGACCTGAAATTCAATAGTAACTCATTGATACCAAAATTAAATTTTAATCTCAATAGTTGATACAATTTTTAGGTTTGTATTATTTATTTGATGATTTTTGGAATATTGTTTGAGCCTTGATGAAATATATCTTAAATAATATTATGAAGAATTCTATTTATTCTATGTATAGAGTTAGTTTGAAAGCGATGTAACAAGTGACACTGTGACACTGAAATGGTTTTAAAACGATATTGACATAAATAGTGTTAAGTTCTCTTTTGTATCATTGAATGAAGTTATCAATGTTGTCATTCATTCATTGTGAACATTCATATTAACGTAACAATGATGACACCGGTGGAATAAGACGAAATAAGATTGAAGTTAATTTAATAGTGTATGGGAAATTCACAAGTGAACAGAGATGTAATGGGATTCTGAAATTATTTAGTTAAGAACAAGAAAGAAAAGAGCAAATCGAATAATAAGAAAAGAGAAAAAACAACAGGACGATAAAAAAGAAAAAATAACAAAGAAAAAGGAGATAAAAATCAATAACAAGAAAAAAAAAGGGTAATAGAATAGTGACCAAGAGATGTTGCGGAAATACTTAGATCAACAAAAGAATGAAAGAAAAAAGGACGGATAGGGTTAGGTTAGGATAGGACAAATATGAGTGGGTCTATTGGACCCTCCACCGCAACCCACAAGGGTTTGTTGTGGTTCATACCTATTCACACTCCAACAAATAAACCCAACTTTGATACAATGATTATTGTGGGGGCGAGTTCTTGAATATTCGGGGTAGGGATCGGAATGTGACTACGATTTGGTAGAAGAGCAACAGTTGTTTGCCGAAAATAGCAAACAACAAATACGCACGGAGTCCACAATAGGAGTCAACCGCATATTTGTGGTTCCAGTTAGAAGACCTAGAATTCTCAGGATACATCTAACATGACCACATATATGTAACCACAAATGTGCCGTTGGCTCCTGTTGTGGACTCCGTGTGTATTTGTTGTTTCCTATTTTCGGTAAACAAGTGTTGCCCATCTTTATACCTGGCTGCACTGCGCTGATGAGGCCAATAGCCAGAAACACGTGTCAGCGGTTTGCCCCTTAACTGAAAATTTGAAAATTTTGAAAATTTAAATGTCTCTTTGCATATATGTGAGGTATATCTGCCTCGATTATTTGTATAGTTTTACTCCACATTTCTAGACACTATTTCATGGGGAAGGGGGAAAGGGGAGTTTCCTTAACCTCATATTCCAAGGTATGAGATAGTATTGACGAACTTTTGAGGTTGTGAAATACAGCTTCGATATTTCTTGAGTTGTTATGTTTATTGAATGTCGGAATATCAAATAATATGGCTTGACTAGTACTAGTAGAATAGTAGTCTACTCTGAAAAAGATGCAGATTCAAGATGGTCGCAGCTAAAAAATAGCGCATTAGATTTTTTTTCACAACTACATCAATATGGGTATCAAATAACAGGAAAATAAGTAGAATAACAAATTGTTAAAATTGGTTGGTAAGTGATAAACTTCTACATCGCTCCACCGATCGTGATGAAACTTGACATGTATAAGTAATTTTTCATAGAGACGGTTATTAGCTCTGTTCTGTAACTCGCCACTAGATGACGCTGTAGAACAATTTTTTGAAAGCACTGTTCTGCAACGCCGGGCACGCCTAAGTTCGTTATTTCTGATTCTGTCAAAACATTGGAACAGCAGCGATACAGCAAAGCAGCGATACAGCAACATAATACTAGTATAATATATTACTTGATGATCATATTCGAAATCTGTCACACACTTAGGATTGGATTTCATTGGAGAAATCATAGCGTGTGTACCTTAAATAAGGCACTATAATTTTTATTATATTGAAATAATTGTTTGTCTCAATTATTGAATGAAATTTGTCTGTTTCTATGTTTTCATTTTTGAAGCCCTGTTGAAGATATTTTTTTGTGGACTTCGTACATCCAAAGATTGTGGTTCAAAATGTAATTTTTCCCCAAATTTAAGATATATCGAAAAATTTGACTAAGATAGTTTTTAATTGAATCAGGACACTTACCATTGCCGAACTGATCTACCTGATCATTGACAACTACGTTGAATAAAAAGTACCCTGACATTGTGTTATCCACTGTAAACTTCAGAATAATTTTTCCAGTAGTCGGTTCTATTCCGAATGCTGGGTTCTGTATGTTCTCCAAACCTGTTCCAAAGGCTTCAATGTTACCTTCAATAGAGTAGGTCAGATTATTCCGATCTATGAAATCGGGATCGTTCGCCTGAAAAAAAAGTTTACTGGATGATGTTTTGTAATCCCGACAGCATAGTTCGGGTTCTATAATGGATCAGGTTGGAGTTAAAAATTGTTCTGCCTGATCATACTCATCAAAACGGTCAACCTACATAGTTTTTGCCCTTCATCCACTGTTCAAATAACTTTCAACCAATCGTATATTGAAGCCATTTTCTATCTTTCATTATTTCAAAATGGATTTATTTACAAGGAAACCCAAGTTCAGTGGACCACAAGATGTATTTCAAGAACGAATTGATGAGTCAATCCAAAAACTTGGTATTCACTTATAATAAATACGGTCTATGATTTTGAAATATTTTGAGTGATGTAATGTTACTAGTTGAACTATTTTTATATCAATTTTGTTTTAATGATACACCGTATAAAATTCCACATTTTCTGATACTTCCTTGGATTTTGAATTAATTGAATTTCTATCATTTTAATAGCTGGGAAATATATGTCTTTCAATATCTCTAAACGAAATTAGTTTTGATATAAAATCCAAAATGGTCACATGGATGTCACAATTAGTACCAAAATTGGATATCATACGTATAGAGAGTGTTTCAAACTTCGTTTCTTTAACACGATTAGATTTTACATATGAATCATTTAATTCCAATAGGACATGTACAGTTTTGCATTCTCAGACTCATTATTTTATTCTAGGCAAACTTTGTTGACACACCTAATAACAAAAAATCTTTGTTTTTCAAATATAATGATTTGTTTACTATATAATGGTGAATTGAAAACATACGAGAGAAAAGATTATTTTCAAACTATTTGGAATTCCGACTCGGAATAATGTGAGTTGGTCGTAGTATCGAGATTGAATTCAATATCAGTTGTTCATCTTGTTCACTATCTTTGCCAACACTGCTGTAACTTTTTCCAAATCAAACGAATTTTGTATAATCTGTTGATAGTGAAGATCGGTTCAGTGTTTTGGCAACGTGATGAATCAGCTGATTTTACTGAAAGAACAAGTTAGATTTCGAAATCATTTCATCAAAATTATATTCGTCACTAATTCTATAATGACTTGAAAACTGAAAATTTGAAAATTTTGAAAATTTAAATGTAATTGATTTGAATTGATTATACTGGAATTATTAGAGGTGCTTCCAATATATTCTAGAAGACCCTGATTTGTTAGTTTTAAGAAATATTTCCGTTTATTCAAAATCCATAGAGAAAATCCAACTAAAGAACTTCAAATGTGACATTTTATTGAAGTGGAAAAAATAACAGGGTAATGAAGAAAAACAGAATTTTCGTATTTTAGCAACATTGCAGAACTGTTCCTGTCTCAGTTTTCTCAAAGAGGTAGAGTCTTTCCAGAAAACGAAGATTATCCTCCATATTTTTGAAACCTTCCACAGAAGAAGACATTGAAAAAATCAATAATGATTTGAATTTCAGGAAATCTCTGAATTTTGATATCATTTCACTAAAAATAGTTAAACTAATGAAATATGAATTGATTCCCATCGTGAAGAAAATTATCAATACATCTTTTGAAACATGTCATTTCCCGAATCGTGTAGAATATAAAAAAATTTACATTTATTTGAAACTGAAGATACCAATGAGAAATGTAATTATTGGCCAATTTTCATTTTTCCTATTCTATCAACAATGAACAATATGATGAACAATATGAATAATATATTAGTGAAATATTGAAAAAGTATTTGATTTCTATATAGTAGGTAGCATGTTATGTGATAGAGAGTCAGTTATACTGGACATAGTCTCCAGAATTCAACTTCAATTAGATTCGAATAATATTTGTGGTATGTCATCACTTGATTTGTAGAAGGCATTCGGTACAGTAATATTCTTATCTTCTGCAAAAGGTAAACTCAATTGTCATTAGAAAAATACTTTTCATATGGTTTCGAAAGCAATATATTTATATACAAGAAAAAAGACTTCATTGAAAACTTTTAAGTATGGATTTGAAAGTGGTGGACAATGTCTTATGGTAAATTTCAGTAGTTCGGACTTCCATTGTTTGATATGAATCTAATATGATTCGAAATCTACTAAAGAACAAATAAAATTAGCATGAATAGCTGAAATATCAGTTATATTCAGATGGAAATGTCCACAGAGAAAAAAGATATAAAAAAGGGGAAGGGATAAAATGAAAATAAGCAAAAAATAAAAAAAAATCTAGAAATTGTTCAAATCATGTTACTTCACCACGATCGCCTTTGGGTGATGATATTGATATTCTAGCTATTTATTCCAATTTTATTTGTTCTTTCATATATTTTGAGTTATATTAGCTTGCCCTGTTTATTTGCTTGTTAATAATTGAAGTTTGACCCCCTTCCTGTTGACAGATTATTCTGATATTTGGTACACACATTTAGTTTTGATGACAATATAATACATTGTAAATCCAAGATGGCCGCAACTACTAAATGGCGGAATACAACTATCTCAATATGGGTATCAAATGATAGGATCGACTAGTAGAATAGTAGTACACTTTGAAAAAGATGCAAATTAAAGATGGCCGCAGCTATAAAATGGTGGATTAGATATTACTTCAACACCATCTTAATATGGTTATCAAATGACAGGGCTTGACTAATACTATAGTAGTACACTATGAAAATAATTATTTGAAATTGCTTGAAGAAGGACAAACATATGTGCTCCTGTGTCGAGTAAAGACTTTGAAAAGTTTATGAATTGAGGAGTTAGATTGCAACTAATTGTCGGGAAATTAACCTTGTATTACTAAGACACTAAATGAACTGAACAAATTGAGAAGAATTGAGTAATGAAATTAAAAACTAAAAATTTGAAAATGAAATAAGTAGAAAAAAAATGTATGTTGAACGGTTCTATTATAAAAAAGATGATAATGATTTAGATAATTAACTAAAAGCTAAAAATAATTCATAGATTGCTTGAGGAGAGTGGTATGGTGACTGATACTTGGGACCTTTCGAATTATTTTTAAGCTTTTACTCGGGAACGTTTAATTCGATTTCCAAAAATTAAACAGTGTTGAGGAATAGCTATCAAACGAGTCATCAGCAGGCTGCCCTTTATTTCTGTAAAAAAGTTGGTATCTCACTTATGGAGAAGAGTGATGGGACAATATGTTATTTCATTTCAGAAAGAATGTACTGAAAGTGATACCTTTTTACGTATATTTTTATCTTACCTTGATATCTTGCCCCCTCGTGTTGTTTTTGGGAAAGTATATTCGTAAAAATGATCTGAGAGACCATTCATCATTCATAATGCAAAACTGTATAGGAAAATTCAAACAATTATAGATATTGCCTGGAAAGTGATGTAGGAGCTTATAATCACTGATAATATCGTCCCATTTTCTGATGTGCTTATTCGCTGAGCTCATGAAATCAGTCATTATTACTGAATATTTGATAATATCAGGTTGTCATATGTTTTTGTAGCTCCATATCTGGAGCTTTTTACCAAAGCACTGCCGAAGCAGTCTGAAAAATCAACCAGGCATCTGACAATGATAGTGTTGATGAACGCACTGTTCGACGTTCTGGAGATTTCAGCCTCAAAGATGAACCCCGAATTGATCGACCTACAGTAAGTAATTCAGGACGAGAATTTGAAGACCATGGTGAAGACCGACCCATCACTGGGCGTCAGCTCCCATGTGGTTTTTAATAGATGAAACTTGTTGGAATGTTCGAAAAGCTCGAAAAGTGGATATCCCATGAAGAAATTGTCACGTTCCGAGGACTGTTCCTCTTTACATTTGAGCAAGCAAAACAACCCTTTTTTCATCGGATCGTCACTTGTGATGAAAACTGGATCCTTTACGCCAACAGAAGACGTTCAGCAAAGTGGTTTCCATGTACTTCCTGAAAGAGAAAACCTACCAAAGTGGGAAGTGGCTGGTGAAATCCAATCAGCAATGTGATGAAATAAAGTGATTACCAACGTGAAATAAAGTGTACTCCATAGATATTTTATAGATGTCTAATGCACATTACATATCATGCAGATGAAACTTGATACTGGAGTGGGAAAAATACTGCAGAAGAAATTTAACTTATATACATATATATTGCCTCAACTTAAGTAATGGATGTTCTGCAACTGTAATGAATATCAAATTGATATAAAAAGTTCGAAGATGAATCGAAAAATTTTTGGATCTTATCAGAAATTTATCGTCCAATTTTTGAAATGTTATAAAGAATAGTGGGCTCATCTCAATTTCAACACCCCAGATAATGAAAACTGATATGATTGAGTCGAGAAGGTCGAGTATTGCAATTTGACAAAATGCCGGGAAAGACGGAATGTCATGTTTCATATGAAAAATGCGGGATCCTTTGCTTTCTTCCTAATAATTCCTAATAAAGAATGCAATGTTTTCAAACCACCTCTAGCAACTCACCTCCGCTTGTATAATGGGGGCACCATCGAAAAAACCGGGAAGAACGGCACCATAAAAGTATTCCTCAATAAACTTAGGTGGGCGATAATTGGCAGGAAGGACCTGAAAATTGAAAGCTCTGTCAATTGAACCTTTCTGCAAATGAAATCATTTTACCAGTACTTTCACTTGGTACTTCACTTTTGTCAGAACATAACTGTATTCTAATTGGTAAGGTTTCATGTTTCAAAGTAAATCTCGGTCATTAAAATACCACACAGACAATGTTTTCTGATATTTGAAAACACTCAATCTAATTTGATGCATAAAATGCCAATATAATATGTCATGTTTTTGTGATATTTTCATTTGTAATTTGGGTGAACTGAAAAGCAGCATGGCTTCTTATCATCAGTAGATTCTTTACATCTTCATGATGTTATTCATTGAATTTTTTTTTCTGTATAATTAATGAAATTACCTACTACATATGACCATTTTACCTTACTCTCTTTGCTCTGTAAATTGTTCATTACTGTTGTACAATGAACTCGATTATTTTTATTATTTATTTAAGAGGGGATGATGTTCAGGCCCTGTACACTTTTATCCGATGCACTGGCATTTTTAAGCATTAACTACTTCTCCACATCCTAGGGTAAGTGATTATTGGGTTCAACAATTATGTGTCCAGAGTTGACGCAAATAATGACAGCCTTCTGCATTTCTCTTGCAAAGATTCCTTCAGTAGTGCGGCAGGCCGGTATGATCTTGATATTTGAGTAGGGAGAGCATCATTCTAGGATAACCATTTGAACAGAGTGTGTTTCGTTAAAAACGGTGTTTCTTCACAGGCGCTAATAAAGCACCCATAAGGCGGCGTTATATCGATGGATATATACCAAGACGCATATATGCTGGACACACTCACAGTAAGTCTCGGGCGCCTCACGGCAGGTCCTGCACCTAGTGTCAGGAACCCATTACGAGAATATCGTAAATTAGAAGGCTATTAGGAACTTTCATTCTTCGACTTCAGCACACTTAAACGTATAAAAGCTAAGGTCATGTGCTCTGATGAGACCTCTTACATCCGACACAGACGCAGGAATATAGTTAAATATGTGGTTTCGAAGTGTGCAATTCACGGAGCAAGTTTCAACTCGGTGACAGAGTTGTAGTCAGTTTAGTGTCAAAAACTAATCCAAGTTCATCGGCAGCAGGTGGCAGCTGTCTTGAAAATATATACCGCAACTCCTGCTCTTTCACGGTCGCGGACCATGCATAGAAGGGGATTTGAAATCGACGCACTGGCTTCGTCTAGTACCATTTTGTCATGTAGACACACTGAACTCCAAAAGCCCTCGTCCTGTCTATGGAGATGCATAACATTTTCAGATCTTCACGTCGAGTTGATACAGCTCCTCTTATATATTAAAGGAGTAGAGTAAGATCTAAACGCAAAGTATGCTTGTAGCAGTAACTTCGCTCTTCCTCGAAAGTTCCAGTGACCAGATCTACGGAGTTTATGCTTATACTTGTCACGGAGATAATTTTTCATGGAGGTTGTCTCTTGTGAGTGGCGATATTCCAACCCGAGGTAAGTACACGTCTCTCAGGCATCCAGATGGTGTAAGGTATTTTCAAAAGATAGAATGATATAAATTAAAAATGTTCAATAATTAAATATATGATGGAATCGGCCGATACTTGATGAAAATCTATAACTAACGTATTCCAAAAACACTTTATTGTGAGATTTTCACTAAATTGTTTTACAAAAACGCAACACGTGTTTCGCCATACAATGGCTTCATCTGGCGTGTCTTAGATGAAAATAACTGAGTAAATGCAAGTGAAACGTAAGTGGAACCACCTATTGGGGTGACACACAAGTCAATTTGCCAAGTTTTTATGTCAGTGTTGGTGGTTTGACCAATCAACCGACAACTGCGATAGTAGAAATTTCAAGTACTTTTCTGGTTTTTCACATTTTGTCTTCAATCGAGGACCGCCTTCCTGGTACTGACGATGCCCAATACGCTGAAACAGCTGTCTACCGATGGCTCTTAAATTGAAATCAATATGGGCATGACCAGAAAGTACTTATCTATTTATCTTTTGATTTCCATCAAATAATCCTGGTCATTCCTCAGGCCTTCAACATTTTCGACGGTAGTGGAATAAACTAATGACTTGATATATCCTCTAATGTAAAAATATAGAGGATTCAAATCCATTCCTTTTTCAGACTAACTTTAATACCCTGCATTTAACACCTCTGCATTTGCGGACAAAAGGTATATTGCGAACAGTAGTTATTTTTTCAGGCAGAATCGACCCCTATAGTTTGTAGCACTAATTTACTTATACCCTGAATATTTGAAAATTATTTTTAAACAATGCCATAAGTGACCAGCATATTTATATGATGTAAAAAAATATGTCACTGAATTATAGACTTTATTCAAGTTGGGCACGGCGTGGCCGTGTTAATTTTCATTCAAGAACATCATCAACCTCTGCATCCAAAACGACCAGTAGTTATAAGGGTTCTTATTCTGTGAAGCACCCTGCGCATCTTGATTGTCTTCGCTAATGGTATGATGCAAGATTATTACATACGTTATCACTATTCCTATTCATATACCTAGCATATTAAATAAATGATTGTTAAATGAAACTTGATATATCTCAAACACCTATCTCCAAATTTTTCTTCAAAAGTATTGAGATAGAGCTTTTATATTTATCCGGCACTATTGTCATATCTTACTCTATCCAAATGCTATGTTAATTCAGAAAGGAAGAAGTTTAATTATCGGCTACTAATTAATATACTTACCCTAACAGTTACATTCAGCAGTGCGTTTTTGAGATCATTGACACCTCTATTGTCATCTGCTGTAAGAATTTCGAACTGGAACTGTTTGTCCAAATCATAATAGACTTCTTTTTCAACGGTTATATCTCCACTGGATATGCTTACATTAAATATATCTTTGATGGTGTCGTTGTTAGTTTTCAAAAAGTAATATGGGATCAGTCCTTCACCTTCTATATCATAATGAGCTTTCTCTGTCAAATCAAACGACAGGGGGGCCTTTGCTTCTTGCACTTCAAAAGCAAAAGTTAGGTTATCGAAGTATGGTTTTTGGATATTATCAGCAAATGTTATTGATATATTCCTCATAGAATTCAAGGGTTGTTGTTTTGTGTTTTCTTTATCCCAAAGAGGGTCATCGTCAGTGATTATTTGGGCCGTAATTTGCAACTGAAACACAATTGAAAATCATATTATGTTTTGAGTGAAAACTTAGCTATTAGGTGAGTTACAATTATTTCACAGAAAATGCAATCTATTGCCTCAAAATATAGAACTATGCGTCATCGAAACATCGAACATCAACGAAAGCCAAGGAATTTGCGGTTATAACTACTACTCTACTAACTAAATGGTAGATACAAGAGTTGAAGAGTTTTCAAGTGTTTTCTGTATGGAATATTCTTTAGTTGCAGTCGAGTTCACACCTAATTGAGCGCGTAGTGCTTTTTATTTCATTCACTTCGTATTCCATGGGCTTTCGAATAAGGTTCTTACTGGCAAGATTCATGCACTATGACACTATGACTTGAGAAGCACAGCCTGCTCGATCGGCTTCAGTGAGTCAGATCAGATCACATAAAAATCAATTAACATGCACCTGTTATTGGTACATCAGTTTGATGAAGGTTTAAGGACTTCTAGGAACTTACTCCTTCACTTCGGAAGAAAATCCTCACTTGGTAGTATTGTGTTAGTCGGGTAAAACAAGTGATACATGAGGTATCCTTGAAATACCTGTACCTGTTGAAGTTGAGCTTTCAAATTGAATTTTTTTGCTTTTTTTGAGCATACTTCACCGACTATAAAATCATGAGCCTCGTATTCTGAGTACACTATGTTTATACCTGTTCCAGCTACCTAGAGAAGCTTCAAGGTCATTTGCAGTTTCGTCAGCCATATAACAGCAATATAATATAGCAATACCATTTCAATTTGATGAATGCTCTTGATGATGACTGTATGTTGACATTTGAAAAAATCGAAACGGATGAAAAAGGAGAAAAACAAACTCATATATTCATCATTCGTGAAAACCTACACTGTATTCCACATAGACTGCTGATACATGCTGTTGCACGCATGCACGCAGCATTTAGCACGCACCCACACATACATATATATCATTCAATAGGTCAGAAAAAAAATCGCATTATACTTTCAACATCCTACAAGGAATTGATCATACCGAATAATGAAAGGACCCAAATTTATAGATTTACTCAATATTTCTCTATGTATTCAGAAATGATTATACCAATAAAACCATTCATCGTAGTGTGCGCTGGTCAGGCCCTATCCCCCGAAGCACAGATCTGTCAAAGTTTGTGCTGATACTTGCCGCGGAGAGAGTTTTTCACTGCGGTTACCTCTTGTGAGTGGCGTTGTTCCACCCCGAGGTAAGTATACGTCTCTCCGGCATCCAGATGGTGTAGGATGCTTCCATCTACGAGCTGCACATCCTCTCCGTAGGAGAGGATTATTATTATTATTTATCAATATGTTTTGATTCATAATTTACAGTTTTTAAACGGATTGCATCACAGTGGAAGTTTTGAGACCATTATCATTGTTCCACAAATTGCTTCCTAGGTCATAACTTTCTATGTCGTTATCGTTATCACTTCACTATCTTTATACAAACATTTGTGGGAAACTTGAAACGGAGGGAAAATCCATTGAATTCAAAATAAACGCTGCACAAAGATATGTGGATCGTCATTAAAGTTACTTTCAGACACAAAATAGAAAAAAAACTTTCATATGAACATTGAATTCCACGAAAGACTAAATATTTTCGAATCAACTGCCTCCATATGAATATTGAATCATACGAAAACCACTTATTCCTATTCAGTTTGTACTCCAAACATGCGTTTCTCACAATCTTCAAGTAATTATTATGACTTGACGATTATGGGAAATCATTGCTGGCAATATTCTGCAATGATTTATGAAATATTCCACTTATAAAAGAGTTATTCACATCTGTATGAAATTAAATACCTGAACTGAACTGTACTGTGATTATTTCAGTCAGTTTTGAGGAGAAATCACTACCACAATATTGACAAAATTCTACTTGTGCCTATTCTTCAATAAAATCATCAATATTCAATGAGAAAAATGAAAATCTTATTCTAAATACTATTCTTAGATGTTTGTTTGAAAGTGGGTGTGTTAATAGTTCAGTTTATTTTTGTTGTTGCTTGTATTTTATTTCATTGTAATTTAAGTTTTTTTGCTTGATATAATTGTTATATTTCAGCTAATCTTTTTTAATTTTGTACAGATTTTTTCAGGGATTTCGAATCAATTTATATCATAGTAGACAATGGAAGCCCGAACTAATGAAATGCACTATTCTTAGATAGCTTGTTCTGTATGTAAATATATGAGTATTTGTTGAGATGAAATACAATTTCCGGATAAACAGAAACACAAAAAAAGGCATGATCGCCTCACCCGATCACACTTTTCGTTAACGCTCTCGCCACGCGTTCACCAGCTTACTCACCAAGTCAAGCGCGCGTCAAGTTTTACTTCAAAAATAATGTAGGTCAATCATGGGAGTAGAAACCAAGGGAATAAGCACTCAAATCGCTGAGTGGCGACTGAAGTATAGGTAGAGCTCGGTTGTTGAAATAAAAATGGTTCAGTGTTATGTTTTAGTATGTTATTAATATAGCTGGGGGATCCCATGTTTTTTCTTATGACACTTCATTCAGGCGATTTTCGGATCTTCGACCTTCAAAGGCCACTTCAAGGTCACATGTGTCTCTTGCCCACTTCAAGGTCACACGTGTCTCGTCATTGGTGAGTGTTCCAGATAGAGACGTTAGTGACTGGAAAAGAGACACGTGTGACGTAGTCGTCCCCACTCTTCCACTTTTACCATCATTCAGTCGACCAATCAGAAGCTACCGCGTGTACAGCAGGAAATTCAAATCAGTAGATGAACAATACGGGTACGAGCGCATTTCAAGGTCGCTCGTCGTTAGTGAGTGTTCCTAAGAAACTTAAGAAACAGGAAAAGGGAAACTTGTAACGTAATCGATGCATAGAAGGATGGAATGAGTATTGGAGATATTCAAAAATAAGAGCGTGGGTTTGGGCCCCCTTGAGACTTCGCTTCACCGCTCGGGCCTTCTTGGGACTTCACCGCTGACTGCTGAGCTCCCTTGTCGCGCACCAGTCACGTGGTCCCAGTTGTCATCAACAGCTGAGGGACATCAAATAAAAAAACCCGCACATGTGCAGTTGGGTCCTGCTGGGCCAATTGATAACTTCTGTATAT